TCTAGGTAAAACTTTGTATCTGTAAAATATGCGAAAGTGGAATTGCTCGATACAATAAAAAGTGAACCATTTCTTGCGTTTTACTCAGCAGTAGAGCAGATTTATTCTTATCGTCAGCGATCTGCACGACTCTACTCCTTCTTCGCCTCCTCTCCGGGAAAACATTACTCAGAACCTGAAATTTGAAGTTTTTCAGCTAAACATACCAGTCATTAAATGCAATACTTTGAAAAACAAGCACCTCACTGAATGAGGGTTTTCGCTATTTGACACAAAACGTCAGATGGCTGATCTGAAAAAACAGCCTCTAAGAGCCCTAAATTGGATTTTTAAATGTTCCAAGCCCACGTGTACTCACAAAATCATATTTTAAAAACAGCGCCAAAAACAGATATAAGCCTTTAAAGTCTTCAAGCGTCTAAAAATAAGAAATGGCAGAGGTGTGAAGCAAGAGGACGGTTGGTCTCCGAAAGCCTCTACTAGTGCATCTAACAAAACAAAAAAATTTACCCTCAGAAGAGGCAAAGTTGTGCCACCGAGGAAAATAATGGTGAACAATACGATGCAAAGTGTCGTTGTGAGCAAAACCCTTTTTGTTTCCTCATTTTCAATTGAAATGTGAAGTGCCAGTGCAAATGCCACTGCACCTCGCATCCCTGTAACTATTAGTTATCAGTTATCTTTTCGCGCAGTAGTATTCTCTCAAAAAATAGAACAAAATTTTAGTTGCTGCTCAAATGGATGGCACTTAGTGCAAGACAAAGAGGCAACTGGGTCAGATAGTTAGTTCGATGCACAGACCTTCATCCCATCGGCTGAAAAATTAACCTGAGCTGGTAGTTAAAAGACTCGAAATATCATTTCTCTAACTTCACTACATATACAGCTATTATTTGCACACGGACGTACAGGTTAAATTTCGGCAAACAACGACTGTTTCTCGCAAAAAACGTAAAAACTTACCGCTGTACCACATTATGAACTGGTTTTTGAAGGATATTTGTGAACGACGGCAATTGTTCGCCACAAAAGCGAGCGGAAATACATTGAGAGCGCGGCCGATAAAGCACAACAACTGAAACAAAGCACTGTGCCGAATGCCGAATGAATGATAGCACAAAACTGAGTTAGCGAAACGCTAAGCTGAAAACTTTATTTAACCAGTGCAGTATTAAGAAGATTCTGTTTAAAAGTGAGTTCGTTAGGGGAAATGAAGAACTTACGATACTCCATACTATGAACATAGGACGGAATTCAAGTTTGAATGTGAACAAGGCGAGGCCCAGATAAGCGAATGTACACGTCTCTGAAAATCACCAAGGTTGCTTAGAGAGCCCCGAAAAACACTGCCATCGTGTTTTATTTATATTAAAAAACCGCCCATTTAAAATATTCCAAAGTGAATATAATGTATAAATCTCAGCATACGACTGCATGTAAAACAGCTAAAATTTCAAATCTGTTATGCCTCACCTGCTCTATTTTGTACTGCTTTTCATTTTTTACCCTCCTGTTCGAGTTTTTAGCCTGCTTTGAAAACTTTCTATAATATAAAGCTAGAAAAATGAAAGAGCAGAAGGAGGCATGTGTGTTACCTGCTACAAATGCAATTGTTCTGAACGTTTGTTGCATAGTGATCTGAGTGATTGGTGAAATGTTGAAATGTGTATACTGAGACATCGTTATCGAGCAGAACAAAATTGCCATTATACCTAAAATTGATTGAGAATGATTAAGCCATGCAACACCAGGGACGAAAATGACAAAGAATGGTGCGAAAAACGGTCGAAAAAGAACCGGAAAGCGAGATGGCCTCAGCGAGTCCATAGGGCAAATATGCAAATATGAGTAATAATGCAAGCTCCAAAGCTGGCGTCTTCCGCAAATCGACGTGTTTAAACAGCTGAAATGTTGCCACAATGAAAAATTTTAGTTTCTGTGCCATAGAACTACAAATTCTTTTTTCTTTTGAAATATTAGAAATAAAATTTTGTCGCTCTCTTTCCCCTTTTTCCTTTTTTTTGCTTCCAAAAAGATGTTACGTAAAATGATTGCAACAAAAATTGTGTTTTTCCCTAGCAAAAAGTGCAACAGTTTACCAGCGCAGAAAGAAATCCAACAAATGCACCGAGTACAGCGGAAACAAGGAAGACAAAAGTAAAGCGAGAGATTGCTGGGAATAGCATGTTATCCGAAGATGAATCCAAGGTACTCTGCTGCGACATTTCAACTGCGGTGGAAGTCAGTACGATCGCCACTGCATCGTTAAGCATCGATTCCCCAAACACAAGCATGTACAGCATCCGTTCCACCTGAATAACAGCAACATGTCGCATTGTAAAGAATTCCTAGAGCATCTCAAAACCCAAAGAATTTCTACGGTCACTGAGAATTACCACCGAATCCTCTGATAATACTAACCCTGATTAACAGGAATGTTTCTGTAGCATACTTTCGCATCGTCCATGCTACTGGCAACCTTTTCGACACCGCTGTCGCTCTGTCTACTGAAGACCAGTTGATGTTCGTTTCTTCGCTTCTCGTTTCGCAAACGGAATGCCTGATACACTTCATCCCCTCCGCCACTTGTGCTAACTTATGCACAGTTCCCTCTTCGCTCATTATGGATGTAATAACACGTACTTACAATCAACGGAAGCATTCAGGAAATCGTACCCCGTATTTGGAAACAGTATTAACATTCGGCTAAATAATTCTCATCAACAAAAAAAACACAGGCATCGGAACCAATTTAATGAGAACGAACATTTAATGCTTGAAATATAGCAAGCGTGGCAACGGGATCCACAGCAGAAATCATCGAACCAAATGTGAAACTCTCCGCCGCCGTAATTTTGTATATGAGATCTGCCTAAATAACAGCAGCAAGTAGCAGAAGCTGGTGAACGATACACTTTTTGCAGACGCATTCCCTTCCACACGGCTTTTAACAACTAGACATTTTAAGCTAATTTACGGAAGAAATTGTTAAGTAAGTGGCGATGAAAAAATTTTTGGCCAAAGTTGCTTTTTCGTGGACAAGCAGTATTGGTGCAAACATTCAGTACACCCACAATATCACTGAAGCGGCTAGAGAGGGATGGAGTTGAAGAAAACTGCGGTTTTTTCGAAAAATAAGACAGACTGACGAATTTCACTGTTATAATTATTCCTATCATTACCATTTATCACTTTTCTCAAATACTAAAACATTAGCCGACAGATAGCAGCTGCCATTTTGAAACGAATGCGATAAACGGACCATGCCGCTATTTATCACTGTGCATTAGTAAATGTTGGATCGAAAAGACATAAAATTGGGTAGTTTATCACCTCCCGAACAGCGTATGGGTGAACTTAAATAAGTGGCACCATGATCGGCCACTATATCACTGAACACCCAAACCAGTCTTCAACACAGATTTTTACCACTCCAAATTTCTGTCCAGAAATAACTATAATTAGCAACTTAATTCAATTCAAACATCTGGTAGGGTAAAATCAAAAGGCCAGAAATTTTACG